ATTATGCTGTACTTGTTCTGTTTCATAATAGTGTTGTTTACAAAATAGCTTTGTTAGTGTGTATGTAGAAGAAATGTATTTATTGCACCTGAATCCACCCTGCTGAGCCTAGCTTTGTAAAGTCTCTCAGTTCATTCTGAATAGCTCCTTATGCTCAATGCCAGAAAGGCTTTGAGCACAGAACATTTAGTAAACAGATGAGGAAAAAGTATGACCTTTAAACAACTCCCCCCAACCCTCACAAATGATTTACTTTGAATGTTTTAGTAGTATACCCCTTTGATTATTGTTAAATGGCAACTTTATAACCAGCGCTACTTCTAGATTTAAAAAAAAAAAAAAATTAAGGTACTGGAGGCGGTGCTCAGTTTTAGCAGGCGAGATTTACATCTTGGAGTACAGCCTTCCAGACTTGAAGGGGGAGGCAGAGGAAACACGCAGAGCTTTGAGAAATATCTGTTGGGTTAGGCTTTAAGGCATTGCTACTAGGTTTTCATGCTCAAAAAACTTGCATTTGCAAGTACTGAAATGTATGCAAATGAAATCTTCGTCCAGAGAGGTTGTTAGTAATGGCAGTTTGTTAGTAAGTGGAATTTGAAGGACATAAGCCCTAGTGGTCAGGACCTTGTTCTCTTGAAGTGGTGGTAGTCTAATACAGCAATGGGAAAGCCCTTTGCATCTAAGCCTCCATTTTCTTTATGAACCAAGGACAGCCCTAGCATAAATAATTGGAGTCTTGCCCATATACATGAGATCTGATTTTTGTGATCAAAAAGATCTATATAACATCTTCAGACATGCAGTTTTGCAACCTCACTTACTCACAGAGAGAGAAAAAATACTGTGAAGGCAAAAACCTCACACAGGCCTAGGCCTTTGCAGCTTAAAAATAAACATCTGAAGTACATGTTTGGTTTTAAATTTGAGAAATTGCTAACTTAAAATTACCATTCCATGTAATTTAAAACAGATGTTGATATTACAAAAAGCTGTTTGTGCTAAAGCAGAATTTAGTGTCCAAAAAGGCAATTAAAATAACACTGACAAATATTCAGTGGGAAAGGTAATCTCAAATCAAAACCAAAGGAGCCAAAACAGTTTGACCACCTGAGCAGGGTAACTGTCATGCTCCTCCTGATTCTTCCAGCTCAGGTTTTCATAGTTTTGCTCAGAGCTCCACAAAGTAAGTTTCTCTGCCTTTGCCACACTCCTCCCCAAAAGCATTAAGTATCCCCATTTTTCAGTTAAAAAAAAAAAAACAACAAAAAAGCACATGCAGGGAGAGGCAAAAGTCTTTTTTCGCATTTATGCAAAACACCAGATGTGTGTACATAAGTGGAAAGGTATGTGGGTGGGATCATGAGCTTGCGTTTGTAACTTGCAGACAAAATCATAAAACTGTGGGCCTAAGTGCCTGTCTCAGAGTCATATCCACAGCCTGTTTCTGTGGCAAGGTTAAGTCTTTTTGGGGCAGAACGAGGTCTTTTGACTCTTCTTTTGCCTCAGCTGAATTTTGATTTGCATGTCACTTTTGTGCTGGCCTTACTTCTTTCTTATTCATCAGGTTGACAAAACTGTCATCGTGGATGCAGTTAAAAATATCTTAGACCATGTCCGCACTTAGGTACACCTCAGCCTCAGTGTGTAGGCTCGCCCTCCTGTCAGTAAAGTGCTCCTGGTAGAAGCGTGTCTCTACTAGACTGACACAGTCAAAATCTTCCCCGAGTCTAACGTTGAATATTTTGCTTAGTATAACCAGCTGTGGTCTATGTGATGGGCTGGACTTGGGCAGATGTGTTGATCTGATGCGTGAATACCTTATGTTTCCTGACCTGACAGCTAGATGTAGCATCAACCTGAGTTGCATATCCTTTTTCTGCTTCCCGCCTGCAACCTGTGCTCCAAGTTGTGTCACTTCAATGGTAGCAGGGTAGTTCAGCAAAAGAGATTTCATGCTTAAAGGTCAGCTTTCATAGAAGTGGGAAACTTTTTTTTTCCCCCAGACTTCTAAGAGTGAGATACATTTCATGGTGTCATCATATAGGTGTATCTGACCAGACAAAGAACTCAGATCTTAGTCATCGCACAAGAATGTTTCATTAAGAGAAAAGCTTTTAATAGGAGACTTTGCTTTTAATCTTGTTACCTTTGCATATCCTTTGTGCTGTCGTGTCCAGCGTAATTACTACAAGTTGAGCCACAAAGTTCCTCCCTTCCCAGCCATTCTCACTTCTGGTTTTAGAGCCTTTTGGTTCTTTTCAAGGCAGAGTATGAGAAGGACAAAAAATCCTGAGATGTTTTGGTTTTGCTTTTGCCCTAATTTGCTTGGTATCTCTGGTTGTAACTTGTGTTGGACAAACCTGTTTACTCAGTAGAAGTTTCTCCATGCTGCCTGCTGCCAAATCTCTGGGTTACAGGCGTGCCTAAATAGTTGAAGGACGAGTGGATCTCTTTAAATCCCCTTTTTGCATTCTGCGGACTGTAACAGTAAAAAAAGACTGACCCAAGCAGGAGACTGTGCATAAATAACTGTTCTGACTGGTCCCTGGATAACCTGTCAGACAAAGGTATCAGTATTTATTTTGCAAGAGGCAGTGTGAAAGCTCTAAACCTGAAGGTCATAAGCCGAGGACTGGGATTTCAGATTTAAAAAAAAAAAAAACAGTAGTTTTAAACGCCATGTATATTTTACAGGAATTTAGTCCTGTCTTCCCTCTTTCCCAGCTAAAAAATATGCATTTCTATATGAAAAAGACCTTGAGCTGGTCAAAGAACAAACTAAGATTATCCTGGTAAAAGTACAGTTTAACTGGGGATAACGTTAGTAAAGCTTGGCAAAGCTGCTTTTTCTCCATAGCTGCCAAACTTTTGAGTACAGTCATTCATTATTTCACCAAACTAAATAAAATGTTGACCCTCAGGTAATCCCAGTGAACAGAATTCCCCTGTGGTGTAA